TGCCCAGCTGCCCAGAATCTAGGACAGGAGTCGTCTGCAGGGACCTAGCCCTGCACCTTCCAGCTCCTGCTGAGGGCCCCTGGCCACCCGTGCTGTGGTGCCACCACTGAGACCACTGCCTGCAGTGCCAGCATCCCACATGGTCACAGGTTCAATCCCGGCTGCCCCACCTCCCACAGCGCCCCTGCGTATGCACCTGGGAAAGTGGAGGATGACCTAAATCCTTGGGATTCTGCACCACCACAGGCGACCTGGAGGAAGCTCCTGGCTTCAGCCTGGCCCAGGCCTGGCTGTCACAGGCATACGTGAATGACTCACCCCTCAACCCACGACAGTAGGGGTGACAGGCGTGGTAGCGGCCCAGTCTCCAAGCCCGTGTGTTACCCAGCGTGGACCACCAGGGTCATTACTGCCCCCTGCGGCTGGAAGAGGGGAGGGTGGTTCCCTTGGCCCTGCCGACCCCCGGGTGCAGGGTGTCGGGGATCGCACCTGCCGCAGCCCGGTCGCTGCCATCCCACTGTGCCTCCCTCCTGTTCCGAGTCCGCAGAGGCTCCGGCCAAGTCCCAGTGCGGGCAGGCCCCACCGGGATGCACCCTGGGCGTCAACGCGCGCGGTCCACCAGGCGCCTTTCCCGGACTTCTCCCGGGAACTGGGCTCGGCTCCACGGCGGGACGCGGCTGCCCCCCAGGGTCCCCACCGGCCGAGGAGGGAGCCGGCCCCGGCCCCGAGGGCGCGCGGCGTCGCCATCCCGCGCCGGGGCCTACCCAGGGCGCGCGGCCGAGCCCCACGCCTTCTCCCACTTCCTGGGGACCGAATCCCGAGCGAGCGCTGCCGGGGAGCTCGACTCGGCGGACACACCCTGCCCGCGATCCCGGCGTGCTGCGCGGGACGCGCTGACATCACCGGGCGCCCCCGCGCCGGGCGGAGCCGCTGCCTCCGAACCCCGCCCGGGCCCTGGACCCCGACCCCGGCCCCTGGTCTCCGCCGCCGGCTCCAGCTCCGGCCCCGATCGCCCCGGGCGCAGCCCCGGCGGTGGCCCGGCCGCGGCAGAGAGCCGGGCGCGCGCCCTGGGGACGCGGGGCCGAGGCGGCGCGCGGACGGGCGGACCTCCCCAGCCCAGCGGCGCCCGCCGGAACGCCGCGCCGCGCACACTGACCTGGACCGGCGGCGGGCAGCGCGGAGACGGGCGGCGAGGCGGCGGGTCACCCGTGCGGGCGGCGCCCAAGGGGCGAGGTCTCCCGCGGCTCCGGAGGCGGGGCGGGCCGAGGGGCGGGGTCGTGGCCGGGCCTCGTCCGGGCCGGGCGCGCGGTCCACGTGGCCCGGGCTGGGCCGGCTTGCTGGGGCCGGGAGGACACGGAACCGGAGGGCTCTGGAGCTGGAACGGGGGTCAGCGGCGGTCCGCGGGAGGCAGGATCCTGGAAGCCCCGAGGCTGTGCAGCCCCGTGCCAGAGGTGACCCGGCCTGGAAAAGCACTTCCGCCATAGGCGCAGTCGATGGAACTCCCAGGCCTGGCGGCCTGAGCGGGAGCTGGGACTACGGCGGGGAGACACTTGAAAGATGAGCTGGCAGACTGGACTTCCGGGGGCTTGGAGGGCCGAGTGCCCCTCTAGAGCGATCCCTAGAGATGGGTGACAGCAAGCAGCTGTAGGAACAGGTGCAGGTCTGGACTCCACAGAGAAGGCTGTCCTGTCTTCCCACCGGTGGGTACCGCGTACCTGTACCACACACGTCTGCCCTGCCCAAGCACAGCACCCTTCCATGCTCAGAGGGTCTGTGACAAGGACCCAACTCCCCAAGGCGAGAGGTTCGGCAGGGTGGGGCCCCAGGCCTGGCATGGGGTGCTGTCTCCTCACAGCATCTGCTCAGTGAGTCACTCCAAGATGCTTAAGGAATGAGAAATGAGGCTGCCTAAGAGAAACACTCCAGCGACCAGCTAGGCCTCAGAGAAAGCCAGTAACCCAGCACGGGTGGGGAGCCTCCGGTTGCCACACACAGGATCCTGCAGTTAGCACATTGCTCACTAGGTTGAGTCATCCTTCCACGTTCTCATGAAGAGAGGGTGGGGTGCTACAACCAATCCAGGGGTGTGACGGCCCCAAGTGTCCGTGAGACGTCAGGTGTGACGGCCCCAGGTGTCCATGAGACATCAGGTGTGTGTCAGGTATGATGGCACCAGCTGTCCCCGCCGTGTCAGGTTATGTTGTCTGGGGAATGTACCAGATTTCTGATCTCATGAATATATTTTCTTAGAAGCAAAATGGTTGATTGGGTTAGTCATACTGCACATACAGTGGCAGCCCAAGGATGGCATCCAGCCTAGTAGAGGCCCTGCAGTGCCCATCTGTCCGCAGCAGTGGGCAGCCAGCGGGAGACCAAACCCACATTGCTGGCTGTCCAGACTCACCGGTGCCTGAGGGCAAGCGGCCACTTCTCAGTCAAGCAGCCAATGGCCATCCTCCCAGCTCACCCTTGGGAAGGAAGCCGGGTGGGGCTGGGTGGCCGCAGGCATCTTCATTGCAGTTTCCGAGGTCACTCGCTGCACCCCTGGTCTGGGGCCTTGCTGGGAGAGCTGAAGCCTCTCCCAGGCCCATAGGGATGGCCCCTATGCCCCACCTTCCCACTATGGGAAGCAAACCCGGAGAGCATTGCTGCTCCTGACACCCAAATGCGGAGGCTGTGGTAGCTCCACCCACAGCAGCTGTTCTTGAACAAGCATGTACATGTGTGCCCACACATGGACAACATGAAGGCACAAGCGTGCGTACATGTGGACACACATTCATAGCTCGCTGACCCATGTTGCTGAGCTCAGGCCCTGGAGCAGCTGCTGGAACTCACTTGGTGACCATGCACTTGAGACCTCCACTCTCAGACGGCTGTGCAGGTCCTGTCCCTGACTCAGCAGCATCAGAGAACTCGTTACCCAACCAGGACCTCCATGGGAACACCAGCGGAGGGGTCTCTCGCAATCAACAGCCCACCCTCCCTGGGAGGGGAGTCTCCCTTGCAGACTCAGCATGGACTCTGAGGAAGACCTGGCGGGCACTAGACCAAGATATTGGACCTACAAGGACCCAAAGAGGGCGGGCTGACAATGGTACCCACACGCCCTACAGGCAACTGGGCAAAGCAGCCTGAGGCACAGTTCCGGGTTCAGCTCAGCGATTGTGGGCAGCTGGCGCAGAGAGCAGGTGCCAACCCTCCCCTAGAGGAAGCTCTGTGGTCCCGCTCTCTCCCTGCAGGTCACCCTCACTGCTCACAGCAGGGTCTAGTCCAAACACTTGCCACAGACCCATGCATGACAGCCAGGCTCCCTCTGGCCCCACACACCTCAGCCTGGCCTGGGGGGTCTTGCCCATCCTTCCCCGTCAGGCCAAGAGGAGCCTCCAGGTTGCCCCCAGTCCCACATGACTCCCACGGGTCACCTGGCTGACAGCCCTCGACAAGGCTTAGCTGCTGACCACAGAACGCCTGGTGGTGAGTGGACAATGCCGCCAGCCACAGTGCCAGCCTCAGCCCCTCCTGCTTCCCCATTGAGGAGCCAGGGACCTGAGCCCTAAGACCGACATGTCCCCCTGCAGGCACCTGTCCAGGGGACTGTGGCCTCCCCGCAGCCCATCCAGCCTGAGCCTGACCGGGGCTGAGACCTCACCGGGGCTCTCCCAGACCAGGCCCTTGGCTAAGTCTGCCCCTGGGAAAGCACCCACAGAACCCAGTGGGGGAGTAGGGTGCAGCCAGTCCAGGGCCAGAGGCAGACCCCCAGGCCAGGAGGGTCTGTATCACCAGGCCAGGCCCTGCCTGAGACTGTACCCCTGAGGTCAGGACCCATCCTGCAACAGCCCAAGGGGTCCCAGAAATTTCCCAAGAGCCTACACCCTGCAGGGGCTGCAGGAACCTGCCTGCACTTGGAGCCCGTCTGAGCTCACCCGAGCCTTCGGGACACTCCAACAAGCCTGGTAGGGACTGAGGGTGGGGAGCTGGCAGGCCGCCCTCACACGTCCCCTGCTCCCCACAGCCGGCTAGGCCAGGCACAGAGGGCAGCACAGGGCACTGGGATCCTCATACATGCCCAGACCTGGCCTGACTCCAGCCTCAGTCCCATGTTCCACTGGACCACCAGCCGGGGTCAGCCCCCACACCCCTGGTTGGCCTGTACAAGGTGCCTCAGGCTGCCCAACCAGAAGCAGGGACCAATGGGAACTAGCGACCACAGCCTGCCTCCAGGGCCAGCAGTACAGGGAGTAGTGACTACCTGGGCCCCCACCCCCACCACTGCCAGACAGTGCAGGGCTGAATGCCCAGGCTGCACTCCCCCTACTGTCCCCCTCTGGAGACCCAGGCAGCTGCCCCTCGGCTGCCCACAGCCCAGACCCTGCAGGGCCTTCCTGGCAACTGCCTCCCACCCGAGGAACCCACATCCCAACCCACAGGGCCTGGCCGTGGAATGAGGGCCAAGGGAGGCAGCAAGTGGAGGGGGGGTGTCAGACCCGCTGAGGTCTGGCCTGGCAAGCACAGGGAGGGGGTGCCTGGGCCTCAGCCCCACTGCCCCAGCCAGGGCCCCATGCCCGAGGTCCGCAGCCAGTTAGGCTGGGCAAGGAGTGACTACCCCACCCGGCCTCTCAGGAGACATACAGCACCCCCCAGGCCTCCCATGACATCCACCCCACATCCCCAGGGACGCTGGCCTCCCATGGCCCCTCAGCAGCAGGGGAAAGCAGCATGCCGGACCCTGCAGGGAGGCCAGTGCCCAAGGCAACTTGACTTCCACCAGGGAAACTGGCTGCCAGTGGTCACTGGGGCAAGGAGCCTAGACCCTGTGGCCACACAGCAGTGACCAAGACCCAAGGATCAGAATGACTGCTCCAGCCCAGGCCTGGGGGGCGCAGGAACCCCGAGGGTGGCAGTGGCCTGAGGACAAGTCCCCCGCCTCGCAGATCAGCACCAGACACTGTGGCCACATGAGGTCAGGCTTCCAGGGCCTTCTTCATCAGACGCCAGTCGGGACCGACAAATAATTTACTGCGACTTCAACCCACCGATGGGGCCCTCATGGGGCCAGGAGCCATTGGGGGTAGGGGGCCAGGGACTCAGGAACAGTTTGAGAGTCCATGGGATGTGACCACCAGGGCACCTCTGTCCACTGTCCCCAGGCAGGCAGGGCTCCAGCAGGACCTTCCTTCTGCCCACACCTGTTTCCTGTGTCCGGGAGCTCCACAGCCTGTGACTGCACTGTGGGGAAAAAGAGGGCAGCGCTGAGCACGGACAGGATCCAGCATGGTCATGGGTCAGCAGTGAGGAGCTGTGGTCAGGGGTGGCACAGTCTGGGGCAGGCATAGGGGCTGGTGTGGTCAGGGGCTGTGGTGCTCAAGAGTTGGGGTAGTCTAGGTCAGTGTGGTTGGGGGTTAGCAAGGTCAAGGGCTGTGGCAGTCAGGGACCAGTGTCATCAGGGCTGGCATGGTCAGGGGCTGTGGTGCTCAGGGCTGGCATGGTCAGGGCCTGTGGTGCTCAGGGTTGGCATGGTCAGGGGCTGTGGTGCGCAGGGTTGGCATGGTCAGGGACTGGGATGGTTGGGGCTGGCGTGCATGGTCAGGAGCCTGTGTGGCCAAGGGCAGTGCAGTCGGCCAGCGGCCTGCGCCTCACCTGCTCAGGACAGCACGCACTTGCAACTCAGGCAGCCGCGGCCACCCTCCTCAGGCGGGTTCAGCTTGCGTAGTTTATGCTGCCTGATCTCACGCACCAGTGTGTAGAAGGCGTCCTCCACGCCCTGTGGGCAGACAGGAGCTCAGGACCTGCCCACAGCCCCACAGAACCCCAGCCCCCCAGCTCCTCTGAGCCACAGTGGGGGTTCCCGGTAGCCCCAGTAAGGGCCCGGGCTCCCCAGAAAGCAGGGGGCAGGGCCCGAGGTCACAGCTCCAGCCTGGCTCGGGCAGCTCTCCAGCAGGGACCCCCGCCTTGCCCGCTGGGGGCAGCCCAGGACTGCAGGGCGAGAGCCAGCCCGGCCCCCGCCGCCCTCACTGCTCTGCTGCCCAGGGAGACTTACAGCGCGGGGGGCCGCTGGGTCACAGGGGTCCCGGGGGGGTCCCAGAGCAGCTGCCCTGTGTGGAGGGAGAGGGGCCATGAGCGCTGCTCCCTGTGGGGCGGGTGGGGGCGGCAGGGCCCTGGCGGGGCAGCGGGGCACTCACCTGCCGGGTCTTGGCCGACGTCTCAATGTAGGGGATGCCGTAGCTGCGGGCCAGTTCCTGGGCCTGCCGGGACTCCACTGTGCGTGCCGCCAAGTCACATTTGTTCCCCACCAGCACCATGGGCACGTCGTCCGAGTCCTTCACCCTCTTGATCTGCTCCCTGAGACGCAGGTGTGAGCAGGTGGCCAAGACCCCAGACCCTCCTGCTCACCACACACACCCACCTGCTCACCCCACACACCCACCTGCTCACCCCTCCTGCTCACCCCACACAGCCCTCCTGCTCACCCCACACACCCTCCTGCTCACCCCACACACCCTCCTGCTCACCCCACATACCCTCCTGCTCACCCCACACAGCCCTCCTGCTCACCCCACACACCCTCCTGCTCACCCACACTGCCCACCTGCTCACCCCTCCTGCTCACCCCACACAGCCCACCTGCTCACCCACACTGCCCACCTGCTCACCCCACACACCCACCTGCTCACCCCACACAGCCCTCCTGCTAACCCCACACACCCACCTGCTCACCCACACACCCACCTGCTCACCCACACAGCCCTCCTGCTCACCCCACACAGCCCTCCTGCTCACCCCACACACCCTCCTGCTCACCCACACTGCCCACCTGCTCACCCCTCCTGCTCACCCCACACAGCCCACCTGCTCACCCCACACACCCTCCTGCTCACCCACACTGCCCACCTGCTCACCCCTCCTGCTCACCCCACACAGCCCTCCTGCTCACCCCACACACCCTCCTGCTCACCCACACTGCCCACCTGCTCACCCCTCCTGCTCACCCCACACAGCCCACCTGCTCACCCCACACAGCCCACCTGCTCACCCCACACACCCTCCTGCTCACCCCACACACCCACCTGCTCACCCCACACACCCTCCTGCTCACCCCACACAGCCCTCCTGCTCACCCACACTGCCCACCTGCTCACCCCACACAGCCCACCTGCTCACCCCACACACCCTCCTGCTCACCCCACACAGCCCTCCTGCTCACCCCACACAGCCCTCCTGCTCACCCACACTGCCCACCTGCTCACCCCTCCTGCTTACCCCACACAGCCCACCTGCTCACCCCACACACCCTCCTGCTCACCCACACTGCCCACCTGCTCACCCCTCCTGCTCACCCCACACAGCCCTCCTGCTCACCCCACACACCCTCCTGCTCACCCCTCCTGCTCACCCCACACACCCACCTGCTCACCCCTCCTGCTCACCCCACACAGCCCTCCTGCTCACCCCACACACCCTCCTGCTCACCCACACTGCCCACCTGCTCACCCCTCCTGCTTACCCCACACAGCCCTCCTGCTCACCCACACTGCCCACCTGCTCACCCCTCCTGCTCACCCCACACAGCCCACCTGCTCACCCCACACACCCACCTGCTCACCCCACACAGCCCTCCTGCTAACCCCACACACCCACCTGCTCACCCACACACCCACCCGCTCACCCACACAGCCCTCCTGCTCACCCCACACACCCACCTGCTCACCCCTCACACCCACCTGCTCACCCCACACAGCCCACCTGCTCACCCACACAGGCACACGTGCACTCCTGCGCAGCCCACCTGGTGCGCACCTGTACTGGTGGACGTCCTCGAAGGATTTGGTGTTGTTGATGGCAAACACGCAAAGGAAGCCCTCTCCCGTGCGCATGTACTGATCCCGCATGGCGCTGTACTCCTCCTGGCCAGCCGTGTCCAGAATGTCCAGCAAGCACGTCTCCCCGTCGATCACCACCTGCTTCCGGTATGAGTCCTGCAAGAGGTGCTGTCTCAGGGACCCTGCAGCTTCCAGTGCCAACCCCACTATCACCTGTGCCAGCCCTGGCCGAGTGGGCAGGTGCTCACCCAGGGGACTGAAGTCCCCAGCTCACCTCCACAGTCCATGAGGTGCCCAGGCTCCTTTCTATGGGGGGCCCTGCTCACCTCTACAGAGGGGGGACCCTAGCTCACCCATCTGGGCATCCCCACTTACCTCTATGGGGTGTCCACGTCACGTGGCTGCCCTCTATGGTGGGGGGGGGGTCCCTGCTCACCTCTATGGTGGGGTCATATTCGTCCACAAAGTGGTTCTGGATTAGCTGGATGGTCAGCGCGCTCTTGCCCACGCCCCCGGCGCCCACGACCACCAGCTTATACTCCGTCATCGCTCCTCGCCGCGGAGCCTCCTGCCCCACCTGCCAAGAGGGCACGCTGGCTCAGGCCGGGCCAGGCCCTGGCGGGGCAGCGGGAGCTGGCGGCCCCGCGCGTCTCCCCAATTAGAAGCTGCTGCGTAGGCAGAAGCCGGCGCGGAGGCCCCGCGGGCTGAGGTGACGCTCCCGGAACAGGTCCTGCCGCGCCGGGCCGCGGCCTGCCCGGGCAGGCCAGCCCCGCGCCCCGCGCCCCGCAGGTGCCGCGCCGGCCGGGGCTCGGGGGCGCAGGGCCGAGCCGCGCGGGGAGGCGCCCGGCGCCATGGCAGAGGCGGCGCCCGCAGCCCGAGGGCGCGGGAGGCCGGCGAGGGGCCGCGGCCCAGGCTCCCCCCGCCCGCCGCGCGCACTCACCGCTCACGGGCGCGACTGCCCCCGCAGCCGGGGCCGGGGCCGGGGCGCGGGCGGGCGCGGGCTGCAGGCGCTCGGCGCGCCCCGCGCATGGGCTCCGTCCGCGGCGGGTGCGGCTCGGCCTGCGGGCGCCGGACACTCGGCCGCGGCCCGCGCGCCCCGCCCCGCGCCCGTCCGTCAGCCTGGCGCGCGCGGCCATTGGCGAGGCGGCCCGTCCCTCAGGCGCGGGGGCCGGGCGGGGCTTCCGGGAGGGGCCGGCTGGGCGGTGCCCGGGGCGCGCGCGGGGCGCGGCTGCGGGGTCGGGGGCGCGGAACGGCGCGGGGGGCGCGGGGGGCGCGGGGGGCGCGGGGCGGCGCGCGGTCCGCCCGGCCGAAGTGGCCCGAAGCACTAACGTCGAATCGAAGCCGAAAGTTGTTGCGGAGCCGGACTCGCGTCCTCCCGCAGGAAACGGGCGCGCGGGGCGCTCGGCGTCGGGGTGACCGCGCGCCCCGCGCCCCTCCAGCCTGGGGGCGCCCGAACCCCCACCCCCGGCCCTAGCAACGGTCGCCGGGGGCGTGGCCGCGCCGGAGCGCCCCGCGGCGCATGAATATTCACACATGCAGATGAGATCCCGCGCGGTTTCCATGGTTCCCGGGCCGCGGCCCCGCGGGCCGGAATATCAGCCGGAGTCCGTGGGCGCCCAGGGCTGAGCCCTGGGCCGGGCACCCTGGCGCCCCTCAGGTCAGTGCCCCCCGGAGACCGTGCCCACGCCCCGGGACTGCTGTGGGCGGCTCCAGCATGGGGGCAAGGGACGGGAGAGGCGCCCGCAAGGGCAGAGGCAGAGGGGACCCAGGTTTCCAGCCTGGGGCCTGGGGGCGCGACACGGGGACAGGCCAGCTTGCTGGAGGGCTTAGCCCCTTGGGCACCGTGGGTGTCCCGGTGCAACCTGGCTCCCTGGTCATCTGTGAGGCCTGCTGGATGGAGTAGAGGTGGACTTGGTGGGGCTGGGGCCGGAGGGCAGCAAGAAGCCCTGGGCAGTGGGGGGCTTCCTGGCGGACTGCACCCTCTCTGAGGCTGGCCCCCTGTTAGCCCCTCGGTGGCTGTGTGCTTTGGGGCAAAGGGTGATATTTGGTGTCCACACCCAGCTCTGTCTGCCTTCCCCTCAGCGGAGCCCAGTCCCCCAGCTTCTAGCTGACCAGGGGCTCATGGCTGCATGCCGGCTCCCGGCTCCCTCCACCTCTGCACTTGCCTGCTGCTAGTATGGGGCCTGGCCCCAGCCCTACCCTGGGATTTCTGGACACCTAGGGGTGCCTGGACACAAGAGCCCATCAGCAGGCCAACTCAACGCTTTCACAGGCGCCACCTGGGGACACATGCTTCCCCCTGGCCTGGATGTCTGACCCACGGCAGAAGGCCGCCAGCTACAGGTGAGCAGCCCAGTGGGGTCTCAGGGACCCTCGGGTACAGACAGCTGGTCTGGCCCTCTGAGGCCTTGGAGCCATGAGACCCTGTCCCGGGCACCCCAAGTCTAGGCAAGTGGCCCCCTCAGTCCCAGCTGGAGCCCTTCTGATTGTGTGGGGTATCTGCGGAGCTTCAGGCTCATAGCTTGCCCCTGCTCCTACCCCTGTTCCCAGCAGGCTATGTGGACAGATTCAGGCTGGGATGGATCCCACAAGCCTCGGCCAAACTCAGCTAACATCCAGGTGCGGGAGCTGAGCTGGCGAGGCCTGCCCAACCCCTGCCCCCAGAGCCGGGGCCCAGGCATCCAAAGGGAGCAGCTGGAGGAGACGCACCTGTGCCCCAGCCGGCTGGTAAGTGCCTACAGGCACCACGTGGGGTGACAGCCCGGGGCCTCCTTTCTGCTGCCATCCAGGCTGCTCCCTGACCTGCAGGCCTGCTTTGTGACTGAGCTCCCCCACAGACCCTGAGGCCAGCACCCCAGTGCCCAGAATCACCTCAAGCATTTGGACTGAGTCAGGCAGCCTGGCTGAACCAGAGCCCAGCCCCTCGCTCATTGCAATGGCTGAGCCTGCAGTGGGGACAGATGGCCAGGGCACAGGGTCCCTGACCCCTTGACCCACGTTGGGTGTGTGCCGGGCTGGCCTCAGGCTGGCCTGGGGGAGGGGGACGAGGGAGGCGTCCGCTGAGGCAGCCCTGGAGCATGGAACAGGTCCCACTACCCAGGCAGTGTCACTCTTACTCGTACCAGTCAGTCATATGCTGCCTGCCACACCATCCATGGGCAAGGCCAGCAGAGAAGGGCCAGGAAGCTGCCTGGCCATGAACATGACAGGGAGTGAGTGACCGTCACCCGCCTCCATTTCCTTCTGCAGCAAGCCCTGGCCGGGGTAGAAGACCTTCGTCTAGTACAGGTTCTGCAGATGTGTGTGGACACCCGCAGGAGCAGCCTGGGCAACTTCGGTGAGAGTCCCCCCACCACTGCCCCAGCTCCTCCCACCTCTGCCCGGCTCCACCCACCACTGCATAGGCTCCGCCCTCCCTTGCCCAGCTCCTCCCACCACCCAGGCTCCACCCACCTCTGCCCGGCTCTGTCCATTGCCCCCCAGGTCTGCGCATGGAGAGGGGAAGGGTAAGGAGTGGGAGAGGAGAGGGAGGGGACCCACACTGGCTCCCTCCCTGGACATGAAAGTCCCACGGTGTGGGTTGTGCATAGAGCACTGAGATCAGAGCAGGGCACAGACCATACTTACAGCCCACCACCAGGTCTCCACACTGCGGGTACTCAGCACCCAGCACAGCCACCTTCCAACTGGCATCCCCTGGAGCCAAGTGAAACAGAGCAGGTGGAAGGGGCTTGTGGGAGCAGTAGGAAGGAAAGGCTCCCATCTTCCCCACAGGGTCCTCAGCATCTCACGCATGGTGCCACTCCAGAATCTATGGAAATGGAATCAAACAATGAGTTTGCCTGTGGGTGGCTGCCTGCAAGATTCTGGAACCCATGCAGCATCCCCCAGCCCAGCAGTGTCCCCCCCAGCCCAGCAGTGTCTCCCCCAGCCCAGCAGTGTCCCACCCCGCCAGCAGCATCTCCCCGACTAACAATGTCCTCCCAGGCTGGCAGCGTGTCCCAGACTGGCATCATCCCCCAGCAGTGTCCCCCCAGCCTGGCAGCATCTCCATGTGTTGGCTCCTAGTTGGGGAGAGGTCCCCGTGCTGGCTGGACCTCACTGTGCTTCCTGGTTGGCCCTTGAACCCTGGAGCCCTTGGTTTGGCCACTCAGGGGCTCCAAGCAGCTCCTACCTGCCTGTGGTCCTGCATCCTGAGCCACTGACCTGGGTCCCTGCTAGGACACCGGCCAGCTGGGGTTCCTCCAGGCCCCCAGGAACATGTTGTGCTTTTGCCCTGGTCCAGCCTGCAGTCCGGGGTTGGCTGTAAGGCGGCATGGTGGGGGAGCAGAGTGTGGGCATGGCGGGGAGGAGGGGCTCAGCTTCCCCACCTGTGGCCCCCAGGAATGCACCTGCCCAACCTGAGGCAGCTGAAGTTGAATGGCAGCCATCTGAGCTCCCTCAGGTAGGTGCCTCCCTGGGGAGTGGTCGAGGGGTGAGGAACCCACAGAGCCAAGGGGGGCCAGGCTGTGGACTCCTCAGGCTGTAAGCCTGCAATGACACGGTGGTCATGAATTCGAGTGAATCTTTTTTTATTTACTGGAGTTAGAAAGAGGGCCTTCCACTTGCTGGTTCCCTTCTCCAAACGCTGCAGCGGCCGGGGCAGGGCTAGACTGAATCAGGAGCCATGTGGGCTCAGGGTACCAAGCACTTGGGCCACCTTCTGTTTTCCTATGCTGTAAGTGGAACAACCAGGACTTGAAACAGCACCCAAATGGGATGCTGGCATTACCAGCAGAAGCCTAACCTGATGTACTACGGTGCTGGGGCCACCCTCCAGCTCCTCCAAGGAAGGAGGCATGGGTACACAAGAAAAACCACCAAGTCAGACGCAGCTGAGGCCGTGTGTGGCCCAGCCCAGCGGACGGGCCACCCCTGGGACACTGAGAACCAGAGAAGGGTGTGGACGAGGCACTGGCCCGGCGTGTGGGGGTGTCCATCAGAGCAGGGCTGAGAGCTGCTGTGACCGATCCACATGGGAACACCAGGTGGGGACATGATGGGGTCAGGTACAGTGCCACCCGCACTCACCCTGTCCTCAGTGGCTCAAAGTCTCAGCAGCCCTGTGTGGTGTGCCCAAGGGACAAAATCCTTGCAGCCTGGGGAAGCTTGCCAGGGGAGGAGAGACTGGGCAGGATGAGGGACCCTGCCCCCCATGGCCCAGCTGCTAGCTATAACAGGCTGCCCTCAAGGGCACATCCCTGACCCCCACCCTCCACAGGGACCTGGGCAGCTCCCTGGGCCACCTGCAGGTGCTGTGGCTAGCCCGCTGCGGCCTGGCAGATCTGGATGGCATCAGCTCCCTGCCTGAGCTAAAGGTGGTTCTGTGGTGCCTCCAGGGGGGCAGTGGGAGGGGCCTGCAGGGCAGGGCTGAGGGCAGGACGGAGGCCAATCTGGCCCTTGGCCAGCTGAGTCCCATCCTGCCAGGAGCTCTACGTGTCCTATAATGACATCTCAGACCTGAGCCCACTGTGCCTGCTGGAGCGGCTGGAGGTGCTGGACCTGGAGGGCAACAGTGTGGAGGACCTGGGGCAGGTGCAGTACCTGCAGCTGTGCCGGCATCTAGTGACACTCACTCTGGAGGGCAACCTGGTGTGTCTGCGGCCAGCCCCTGGCCCCTCCGACAAGGTGCGGCTGGATGCCAGCGGCCTGGGAGGACCTCTTCTGTGGTCCTTTCCTTGGCCTTCCCACGGCCCACAGACCCCTGCCCCGCCTCCATGCCTGACTCGCCCTTCCCTGGAGGCCTGACTGCACAGCGTGCTACCTCCTGGGTGGGACCCTCAGGCCAGCCACCCTGCCCCATGATGTCCCCTCAGCATGGGGCAGCACACACACAGAGGTGCACACCCCTTCACACACATACAGCACACACACGACGCTGTCCAGACTCACCCCCATGGCCCACCACAGTGTGCCTGTGGACTGCTGTCCACCTCACTGGCCGCTGGGGTCAGCCCCCCACTGGGACATGGAAGGAACGCATATGTATCCTGCTTTAGTGGGGGTGATTCCGGGGCCAGCCCCACAGCTCTCCCTGGCTCCATGCACTGCCCTGCCGTAGGTCTGAGTGAGCCCCAGGATACAGGACTCACTGGACCCACACCGGCCAACCTTAAGCCTCACTCTGCATCTGCAGGCACCGAAGGGCTACAACTACAGGGCAGAGGTGAGGCGGCTCCTCCCACAACTGCAGGTCCTGGATGAGGTGCCAGCAGTCCAGACGAGCCTGCCGGCCCCTCAGCCCCTCAGCCGAGACTGGCTCCTGGTCAAGAAGGCCATCAAGGAGGCTGGTGTCCTGGACAGCCTGCTCCCCAGGCCGGGTATGGATAACAGCACCAAGCCCTCGGCCCCATGAGGGAGAGCCTCTGAGCATCTGACTGCGGGGCATGGGGTGATGTGGGGTGACATGGGTTGACAGTGTCACTCTGCTGTGACCCGGGCAGGTGGAGCCCTCGGAATCCCCGAGTGTAGACTGGACCTGGCTCTGCCTGGGCCACAGCCCAAGGTCCCTGAGGACCACAGTGACCATGCCAGCAGCCTCACCCACGGTAACCAGCCCTGATTCCAGGCTGCCCTCAGGCCCTACCTGATTCCAGGCTGCCCTCAGGCCCTGGCCCCAGGCCAGGCCCAGACACATGCTGCTATCCCCCAGGTGGTGGCCAAGTCCTGTGTGGGAATCCCACTAGAGGCCTGTGGGCGCGCAGACAGCAAGAGCAGGTAACTTTAGTGCCCCAGGAAGCACACAGCCCTGCCCTCACCCTGGCCCTCCACCCAGCACTCGCTCTGGCCCTCCACCTGGTCACCTGCCCTGGCCCTCCGCCCAGCCCCCTGCCCTGCCCTCACCCTGGCCCTCCACCCAGCACTCGCTCTGGCCCTCCACCTGGTCATCTGCCCTGGCCCTCCGTCCAGCCCCCTGCCCTGATCTTCTCCATGTTGTTTGTACTGGGGCCCTACACCTGTCCAAGGCAGCTTCTCCAGCCACTGTTTCTCTAGGCCTGGGCCTCTGCCGAGCAGCTGCCCCAGTGTGGGCCAGCAGAGCTTGCTGCCAGCACCCCAGGCCAGGAACCCACACCTACACAGAGCTACGCTGACCACCTGGCCGTGGCTGGGCTTCAGCCCCAGATGGAACTTGGCCTGTGGTGGGTGACCCCTCACACCCCAATCCTGCTGCACCCTGTCTGGTTTGGGGGGGCTCAGGATGGGGAGCTGTCTGGGCTGAGCAACCTTTAGCCCAGGTCAGCACCTGTGAACAAGGGGGGGCTGTGGCTTCTTGCCCAGCCTTAACCTCAGCCCCCCCCCTCACAGGCCCTTGGCTCTCCAGCACCACAGAGCAGAAGCCCCCTGGGGCCTGCAGAGGGTCCCTGAGGAACAAGAGGGCCAGGCTGGTCCCAAGATGTGCTGCAGCCCCCTGAGCCTGCCCACCCAGCTCTGGAGCCCCAGAGTAGCTGACCCCCACCTTGGGGTGGTCTCCCTCACCTCTGACCTGCAGGGCCCTGGAGCTCACGACACAGGTGGGCCACTTCCAATTACCCCTGCTGTGCCCCAGCCACTGGCCCTCAAGAGCCCCGGGGCTGGAGCCAAGAGAGGGAGGGAGGCCGGCCTCCGGCCGGACTGCGTGCACAGGGCTTAGGGCCACAGCACGGGATGCCCTGAGCACACGGGCGGATGTGCCCAGTGACAGCGTAGGTGAACCTTGGGGTCTCTGCAAGTGGGTGGTCATGTGGGTTTAGGAGGGATTCACAGCCTCACAGCTGCTGGCAGGGGCTGAAGGGACCACATGGAGGCCTCCTGCTGCTGGCACCAAGCCCAGAGAGACCTGGAGCGACTCTGGCCACTGCCCCCTGGTGACCAGGGCCCCCAGCAGCATCAGGTCATGGGGCTGGGTCATCAGAAAGTGGAGAACGTGATGACCCCTCTGACGTGTCTCGCTTCTTGCTTTTTAGAACCATCTGGTAGCTTACGCTGTGCCCTGGCACCTTCTCCCCCCAAGTACCCACTGGCTTCCAGGGACAGTCGCACCCTTGGCTCCACAGAACTGTTGCTCAGGGGGCGGCGGCTTCGAGCCCTGGGTGGCCTGAAGGCGCTGAGGACCGTGGAGGTGGCCTCAGGCCCCCTGGCAGAGGGACAGCCGGACACAAAGGCAGCGGCAGAGACAGCAGCAGGGGTCCAGGGTCTGCAGCACCTGCCACCCCTAAGCCCGCTCACCCCGACCCCTGCCCACCCTTAGCCCAACACCTTGGCAGGTATGCTGGGCTATGAGGTGGGCCTGGTCCCAACCAGTCCTTTGGTTAAAAGGGAGCAGAAGCCCCCCACGGTGTCCCTCCCTGGAGGCATACTCAGAACCCTCTGCCCACCAGTGCCCATGGACCAGGTGAACCGCTTCCAAGTGTAGACCAACGTGGTTCGCTGTGTAGGTGACGTTGTTTTAATAAATGGGTGGCAGGCACCGCCTGCCTAGCGCCAGTACCGCCTGCTCCTGTCTGCCGTGATGGGTGGACAGCAGAGGAAGCGGAAGCCGAACCTGCTCTCCGCTGTGTTCTGCACGGACAGCAGCACCATCGGGCAGTTCCGGTCCACGCTCCTGCGGCCGACCTGCAGGGGTGGGTCAGTGCGGCCGCCCTGCGCACCCAGAGTGCCCTGCACCCCGCATGCCCCACGGGCGTGCTCTCACCTGCACTTTTCGCGCCTTCCTGGCCTGGCAGTCCTCCAGGCCCAGCCTGGCCTCTGATGGGGGACGAGGATGGCTGGGGTGAGACCGGCTCGTCCTGTCCTGTGCCCACCCCCGCCCCCTGACCCAGCGCACCCAGGAGTAAGGGCAGGAGCTCTGGCACAGGGCTCTTGAAACACTCAGTCTGCGCCGGCACTTCCTGGGAGTGGAAAGCGTCACGCAGGGGTGGTGATGGCATCCTCACGGGGGCCGGCATGTTGGTGGGGCAGGGGGTTCTGGCAGCCCACGGCTCGCCCAAGGCAAGGTGGTCCTGCCCGGGCCTGGGCCTCCTCCAGGAAGTCCTGGGAAAGTCAGTGGGGGCACAGGCCTGGCGAGGGGATCCTGGGGTTGGGAAAGGGAATGGACTCCGCAGCCACCACGGGGGCCTTCCGTGCCCGCCTGGGGCCTGCCGCATCCGGCTCTTGCGCAGGCATCGAGGCTGGAGCCGCGGCTCCCGAAGGTCAGCGCCAAGCTGGGCCTCTGGGAGCGGGAAGCCGCCGACCGACAGGATGGTGTCCTCAGCAAACAGCTTTGCAGTAGGAGTCACGCAGTGAGGGGCCTGGTGCTCGCTGAGGACCTGAGGTCCGGCAGGGCATGTTGGCCAGTGCATCACATGCCACCGCCTGGCTGTCCTCCTGCACCGGAACGCGCACCCACCTCGCCTTTGGGCCCCAGCAGCAGGGTCACACAGCCTGGACTGACGTGGAAGAGGACGGGCTCCTGGCCAGAATTCAAGGGCCGCCTTTTCTGCGTGCCGCAGCCACCCTCACTCCAGATCTGCAAGTGGCACAGGTGTGTGAGGCGCGGTGGGGCAGGGTGCCGGGAGGGGTGGCGCGCGCAGGGAGCGCACCGTGAGCTGGCGCCGAGGCCCCAGGCGCATGCCAGGCGGGAAGCGGTACAGGCGCACAGGGAAGCCGTGCTCCAGCTGCCGCAGCGTGAGACCCGCCAAGTCCGCTGTCTGCTCCCGAGACTGGTTGAGGATGCGCACGAATTTCTGCCGGCGGCTCACCGCAACGATCTTCAGGTGGCTGCCGGCGGGCAGGAAGGCGAAGCTGTGCTGCCCACTCGCCCAGCAGAGCGCCGCCTGCCCACTCCCGCCTGCGCCCGCTCACCTCAGCCCAGAACCCATGTGCGGGTGGTCGGGCTCCGACACTTTGCTCCTGCTGGGCCCTCCCGCGGACGTCATCTGTTGACCTGGGGAAAGCCCTTCCAGGGGGGCCTCTCGTGGGGTCTGTCTGTGGGGATGTCTTGCCCCGACGCAAGGCTGAACTGGCTGGGAACGGCCAGCAGGGCTAGGGGGTGACCGGTCCCTGGGGGAGCCCACTTCACCTTCTGAGGGCTCCTCCCTGCCCAGGCTCTTGGTTGTCATGCCCCTCGGCGCCTGGGCTTCTTCAGGGGCTAGCTGGCAGCTACTGGAGTCGGAGCCCGCGCCCCCGGAGCTGCTACTGCTGGGCTGGGGCAAGGAGCTCCACTCCACACTCTTGTGGCGCCTCTGGTCCGGCTGTGAGCCCTGGGATGGGGGCTCCCTGGGGACCAGGTTCTGCTCAGTGGCAGCTCTATCCCTGAATCCCAGACCTGCCCACACCTCCAAGGAATCTAGCCTGGCCTCCTGGTGGGACGGCCATGCCCCAGAGCTCCTCCCTGCCCACTGCTGAGCTGAGAGAGAAGGTCGGCCGCCCAGCACTGGGACCTGGCCCCCTGCCCCTCACCATCACCTGGGCTCTGGGTTGGGCTCAAAGTCAGTGAAGAGGTTGGGGTAGCGGCGGGCAATGCTGTTCCAGTCCGTGTCCTCCAGACGGAAGCCCTGGCCAGCAAGCAAGAAGCTTGGGGTCCCGCTGGCCTGCAGTGGCAGTGGAGCCCTGCCAGGCTGGGCCTGAGGGTTGCTCACCTCCCTTGACCCCAAGGCCTGGTCACTGTCATCCCCGTCACTGGGCTCCCTGAGGGTCTCTGCAGTCACCACCTGCAGGCAGAGACCAAAGATGAAAGCTTGGGCGGAGAGTGCCTCTCTTGTTTGACCTTGCAAGTGCTGAGCAGGCTCCCCCGACCTAGGAGCGGCACTTAGCCGCAGGGGAGGGGGATGCCCACCTCCACGCTGCCAGTCTGGGAGCGCAGGGTGCGGCCCACCCAGGAGGCCCGTGCCAGCTGCAGCAGGCAAGACTTCTGGTAGACCTGCAGCTCTGCCTCTAGCTGCTGCAGAGTGCGGGTCGCGTGCAACAGGCGCTGCTCCAACATCTCCTTGTCCTGGCCAGAGGGTCAGGGTGTGAGTGGGGCCGGTGATGTGCCCTCTCCTAGGGCCCATCACCTCACCAGCCAGCCCCAAAACACCCTGAGCCCCCATTTCACCAGCTGGGCCCCCCACTCCACGAGCCCCCATCTCACCAGCTGGGCCCCCCACTCCACAAGCCCCCATCTCACCAGCTGGGCCCCCCACTCCCTGAGCCCCCATCTCACCAGCTGGACCCCCCACTCCACAAGCCCCCATCTCACCAGCTGGGCCCCCACTCCACGAGCCCCCATCTCACCAGCTGGACCCCCCACTCCCTGAGCCCCCATCTCACCAGCTGGGCCCCCCACTCCCTGAGCCCCCATCTCACCAGCTGGGCCCCCCACTCCCTGAGCCCCCATCTCACCAGCTGGGCCCCCACTCCCTGAGCCCCCATCTCACCAGCTGGGCCCCCCACTCCCTGAGCCCCCATCTCACCAGCTGGGCCCCCCACTCCCTGAGCCCCCATCTCACCAGCTGGGCCCCCCACTCCCTGAGCCCCCATCTCACCAGCTGGGCCCCCCACTCCCTGAGCCCCCATCTCACCAGCTGGGCCCCCCACTCCCTGAGCCCCCATCTCACCAGCTGGGCCCCCACTCCCTGAGCCCCCATCTCACCAGCTGGGCCCCCACTCCCTGAGCCCCCATCTCACCAGCTGGGCCCCCCACTCCCTGAGCCCCCATCTCACCAGCTGGGCCCCCACTCCCTGAGCCCCCATCTCACCAGCTGGGCCCCCCACTCCACGAGCCCCCATCTCACCAGCTGGCCCCCCACTCCACGAGCTCCTGTCTTACCTGCTGGCTCCGCTCCTTCTGCTCCTGCAGCTCCAGCCTGAGCTTATGCACCTGGTTCTGCAACAGCTTCTCCTGACTCTGGGGGCTCCTGGGGGGATGGGGGCCATCTCCCAACTAGGCAGGGCTGTGGGGGCTCCTGGGGGGTCATCCTCCAACTGGGCAGGGCTGTGGGGGCTCCTGGGGGACAGGCTTGCTCAGCACACTCCCAACCGCTGGACAAGGGTCCAGGTCTGGCCCAGGGTCAGACGAGAAGCCAGGTTTAGGGCGAGGTGGGAAATCTTGTGCCGACCTCTGGGGTGGGAATCCGGCCACGTGCTGCAGCACTCGCTGGTGCTGGGCGTTGCAGCCGTTCTGGACGGCCCATCGCAGCGCTTGGATCTCCAGCTCCCGCTGCCTCCACAGCAGCTGCAGCGTGCAGGGGTCCAGGGTCCCAGGTGCCAAGCTGCAAGGCCAGCATGCTTGGGGCTTCAGCAACCCACTCCCCCTCCCGGGACTCCCCTCCCCACTTACTGCAGGCTGGCAGAGGAGGCCCCCGGTGGGGAAACAGACTTTGTGTCCTGTCGGCTGCTGGGCAAGCCAGTGGGAGGCTCGAGGTCCCTAACACTGGGGTCTCTCGCCAGGGTCGGGGGAGCCTCCTCCTCGGCCTCTGGAGGGTCCAGGCCAGCCTTGGGAGTCATCAGCGATGTGCAGGGGGAGCTGGGCCGGCTGGGCCAGGTGTCCCTGTGTCCCCTGCTGGCCTGTCCCTAGGAATGAGACCCAGATGGCACGGCCGGCTGGCTTTGAGGAGTCCACACAGCCAAGTGGCTGGCCACACAGGCATCCAGCTACCCCTGATGGTGTCACCCTGTGGGTGCTACAGGCTGCCCTCACTCCAGAGCCCTGACTGGGTACTGACCCAGTTTTGAGCACCCAGCAGGCCTCAGAGGAAGGCCTCTATGTGGTTGCCATGGGCACCCACACCCAGAAGTAGGTGGGGCTGTGGGTTGCCGGGAGCCTCCAAGGAGACCCCACCCCATTGGGGGCCAGCTCAGCCAGCTGAGCCTATCCAGGACAGCACTGCGCTCCCAACACCCCATGGAGGGGAAAGCCAGGGAGGAGTTGTGCTGGGCAGCGGCCAGCAGCGGACCCCCGGCCTGGCCAGCTGCACCCTCTGGTATGTCCTGGCGTGGAATAATGCCATAACCTTGGCAAGGGATCTTCCTTCTGCATGGCACCCTCTGCCAAACTTGAGCCTCCCAGCTTTGAACGTTCAGGAGACCCTCAGCCTCCAACACACTTGAACATCCCTGGCCCTCCCCAACCCCCTCACCCTGCTGCCCTGGGCTCCTGCTGTCCTGAACCAGGAGTTTCCAGCCTGGGAGTCCCGGAGGTGGGGGTTTCCTATCTCGGGGGTACCGGGGAGGAAGGGTGTCCCCGGACTGGGCATGGGATGGGGTCTCCTGCTTCAGGGTTCCGGGGAAGCAAGAAGGATCCCCAGCTTCGGGGATTCCCAGGGAAGGAGGGAATACCTGACCCAGGGGAGGGAGGGGGTCCCCGGCCCGGGGGTCCCAGAACTCGCCAATCACAGCCCCTGCTCCCCGGCCGCCCTCAGGGCGCTCACGCCGCGGGCCCTGAGGGAGAAGCCGAGGACGCGTCTGCAGGGGAGCGGCGAGGAAGCGGGCCCGCCGCGGCACGCACCTGCCCGCCGCCCCGCCGCGGCCGACGCGCTTCCGCGTTGTTCTCGAGCCCGAGCGCCGGCCCCGCCCCCGGCCCCGCCCACACCTGTGCGCCGCTGGGCGGGGCGGGCGCGCGTCCAATGGGGGCGGAGCCTAGGGAGGCCGGCCAACGGGTGCGAGCGGGGGGCGGGAGGGGCGCGCGGCGCAGCTAATGAGGGCGCGGCAGGGGCGGGCCGTGCGGGCCGCGGGCCAATGGGGCGGCGGGCGGCGGGCGGCGGCTCTCAGCGGCTCTCAGCGCCGCGGCCGCTCGGGCCGGCGCCCGCCCAGGTGAGCCGCGGCCGGCGGGGCTCCGGGGCGCGGGGGCACCGGGGAGACGAGGGTACCAGGGGTTCCCGCCGGGGGCGTCCTCCCCGGGTGAAGGAGTCGCCCGGTCCCCGGCGGGGGGCGGGGCCGGGGGGCTCGGGGGACTCGAGGAGATCAGGGCACTCGGGGGCGCCGGGGGGCACGGGGGACTCAGGGGGCCGGGGGTGCGGGGACTCGGGGGAGCACGGGGGACTCGGGGGAGCACGGGGGACTCGGGGAGATCAAGGCACTCGGGGGCGCCGGGGGGCACGGGGGACTCAGGGGGCCGGGGGTGCGGGGACTCGGGGGAGCACGGGGGACTCGGGGGAGCACGGGGGACTCGGGGAGATCAAGGCACTCGGGGGCGCCGGGGGGCACGGGGGACTCAGGGGGCCGGGGGTGCGGGGACTCGGGGGAGCACGGGGGACTCGGGGAGATCAGGGCACTCGGGGGCGCCGGGGGGCACGGGGGGCTCATGGGGCTGGGGGTGCGGGGACTCAGGGGACCGGGGGTGCGGGGACTCGGGGGAGCACGGGGGACTCGGGGAGATCAGGGGACTCAGGGGGCTCGGGGGACTCAGGGAACTGGGGGGATCAGGGGTACGGGGGCCACCAGGGGACTCAGGGGGCTCAGGGGGCTGGGGGTGCGGAGACACAGGGGACTTGGGGGACACTGGGAGACTCGGGGACACAGGGGGCTCAGGGGACTCTGGCGACGCGGGTGCGCGGGGGGGCGCCTACCGGGCATCTCCTCCCTGGGTGAAGGAGCTGCCCGGTCGTGGGGCGCTGGCCGCCAGGCTGTATGGCTCCGTTGACCGGCGCTGTCCCCAGCACAGGATGCTCCTGCACCCCCTGGCCATGGAGCTCAAGGTGTGGGTGGACGGCATCCCGCGAGTGGTCTGTGGTGTTTCGGAGCAGACCACCTGTCAGGAAGTGGTCATCGCGCTAGCACAGGCCATTGGTGAGTGCAGGGGTCGGGCCGCCCCTCCTGCTGGCCTGTCCAGCCAGGAGGCTGCAGCATGGACATGGGGTAGGGGGCCAGCTGAGCCCTAACCCTGTCTCCCCCAGGGCAGACCGGCCGTTTCGTCCTGGTGCAGCGGCTGAGGGAGAAGGAGCGGCAGCTGCTGCCCCAGGAGTGTCCTGTGGGCGCTCAGGCCACCTGCGGGCAGCTTGCCAGTGATGTCCAGTTTGTCCTGAGGCGCACGGGGCCCAGTCAGGGCTGCTGCCTGCCCCCAGAGCGATGTGCCATGCGGGCCAGCCTTCCTCCCAAGTCGCGGGGCGCCCGTGAGCCGGGTTCCCCCGCAACTCCCACGCCAGGCCACGGCCTGGACCTGCAGGGCCTGGAGCTGCGCGTGCAGAGGAACTCGGAGGAGCTGGGCCACCTGGCCTTCTGGGAGCAGGAGCTGCTGCGGGAGCAGGCACGGGAGCGCGAGGGGCAGGCCCGCCTGCAGGCCCTGACCGAGGCCACGGCAGAGCATGCCTCCCGCCTGCAGGCCCTGGACGTCCAGGCCCGCGCCCTGGAGGCTGAGCTGCAGCTCCTGACCGGTGCCCGGGAAACCCCACTCCCCACAGCACCCACCAGGGAGCGGCTGTGTCAGGACCTGGCTGCCCAGGAGCGGCTCAGCGCAGAGGTGCAGGGCAGCTTGGCTCTGGTGCATCAGGCCCTGGCCGCTGCTGAGCAGGCCCTGCAGGTGAGCTGGGGGTCCCAGCAGGGGGCAGAGGGGCTTGGGGCAGGGTCACTGCTGAGCAGGCCCTGCAGGTGAGCTGGGGGTCCCTCTGAGGATGGTGCACCCACCCCCAGGCCCAGGCCCAGGAGCTGGAGGAACTGAACCGGGAGCTACGGCAGTGCAACCTTCAGCAGTTCATCCAGCAGGCGGGGGCCGCACTGCCCCCACCCCCGCGGCCCACCACACAGGTCTGCCTGGTTCCAGGGGGCGGGGCAGGGCCTGAGTGGCAGGACTCCAGCCTGCTGCAAGCTGGCCCTTCTTCCCACAGCCCCTTCTGCCTCCAGCCCAAGCGGAAGCTGTCCTGGGAGCCTGCAGGCTGAACCCCGAGGGTACGTGTCCCCTGCCTGTCCAGCCCCCCGCCCCAGCAGGTCCCTTCTCAGCCTCACCGACTCTGTCCTCCCCCCAGTTGTATCCCTGAGGCAGAACTCCTGGAGGTAGCAGCCCTGGCAGCCTCTGCAGGCACGGCCCACCTCCCTGGCTCTGGGACACAAGCCCTGGATGGTGGCAAGCTCTGGCACCCTTGCATCCTGACCAGCCAGGACTCGTGTGTGTGTGTGTGTGTGTGTGTGTGTGTGTGTGTGCACAGCAGACATGGTCCCACGGGGACACCTCAATAAAGGCCCCAGTGGCTTCCCTGTGTCTTGTGCTGCACCCAGCAAGCTCTGTGGGGTCGGGTGGGCACACTGCTTGGACTCCTGCCGCCAGCCAGGCTCACACCCCAGGAACCTGAATTCTGACCAGTGCCTGTCCTACCCAGTTCCTCTCCCTGGTCCACACCCCACGCACAGCAGGAACTGACACAGGGACAAGCTAGACCCGCCCGTCAGGTTCCCTGCATGGGGGCGGGCCCTGGACTCCTGGCAGCTTCCGCCCAGGGCAGGCACTGTGCCAGCCCCAGGGCCATGGCTGCTGTGACAGAGTCTGGGGTTGTCAGATGGGGGCTCTGCACCAGGACTGGAGCACAGTGCGAGATGGACCAGCCACTCCTGTCCTCCTCTGGGGGAGCCCCCGAGGCGGAAAGCAGGAAATGGTGAGGCCAGAACCCAGGTCAGACCCTGGGACTCGAACTCACTGGCTGCAGCCTGCCACTGGGGGTTCTTGGGAGCTGGACCTATAATCCAAGACATGGCCAGGCCACTCGGGGGAGACGGGCCAGGCGGACGGTCACTCAGGGAAGACGGGGCAGGCGGACGGTCACTCGGGGGAGACGGGGCAGGGGCCAGGTAGATGGTCACTCGGGGGAGACGGGGCAGGCGGATGGTCAATCGAGACGGGGCCAGGGCCAGGCAGACAATCACTCAGGGGAGACGGGACCAGGCGAACGGTCACTCAGGGGAGACAGGGCAGGCAGATGGTCACTCGGGGGAGATGGGACAGGGGCCAAGTGGATGGTCACTCAGGGGAGATGGGGCAGGAGGACGGTCACTCAGGGGAGACAAGGTGGGGGCCAGGCGGATGGTCACCCAGGGAGCCAGGTACCCGGGTCCCATGGCACATTCATCTTCAAGCCAAGCACAAGCCCACTCCCTGTGAGATGAGACCATGCCCCCACGGGACTAGACCACACTTGTCGGAGCAGAGGGGCGCACTCCTTGCTGTGTGCCACTTCTGTCACCACACAGAGGCCCATCTACACGCGAGTGGAGCACGGCATGGAACCGTCCTTCCCAGGGTTGTCCTTGGTGGACAACAGAACCCACATTCCTGGAAAAAGCAGCAAGTCAGAAATTTCTGAAGTGTTTACTTTTGTGGCTGGCACAGTAGTCTAGTGGCTAAACCTTCACCTTGCTCGCATGGGATCCAATATGGGCATCAGTTCATATCCCGGCTGCTCTGCTTCCCATCCAGCTCTCTGCTTGTGGCCTGGGAAACCAGTTGAGGACGGTTCAAAGCCTGGGCCCCTAGATCCATATGAGAGACCCAGAAGAAGCTCCTGGCTCCTAGCTTCAATTGGCTCAGCTCCAGCTGTTATGGCCATTTAGGGAGTGACCCAGCAGAAGGAAGATCTCTCTCTCCTCTCTGTAAATCTGCCTTTCCAATAAAAACAAATCAATACTTTTTTTTTTAAGTTTACTTGGGGTTTTGGATGCATCATTACAAACAGGCATGCCAACTACAGGCTCCCCTAGCAAGGTCCAGGGTGCTGGCCACCTCGCATGGGGCACACTGCCACTGCCCGAGTGGGGCAGACCCTGCTGCTGCCCAGTGTGCCTATCACTACATCCAGGGTCCCTGAGGTTGTCACCAGTGGTGATGTTCTCGCCCACACCAAGTCTGCCACCTCAGAAGTAAGCATGAGGAGCAGAATCTCTCCAGGGCTAGTTCAAGTGCGTGCAAGGCGGTGGCCTCCAGGCTGCCTCGCCCTGGTCCACAGCCAAACTCCATCCCACAGCTTGCCACAGGCATTGCTGCCCCATGGGGCTGGCGGCCGCTGTGGACACACTCGGGGCAGGGAAGGGCCTGGCTCCCTTACTGAAGCAACAGGGGCTTCTAGGAGAGCTCCGTCCATCACCATCTTTCTGGGAGAAGTCCCATAGAAGGTCGTTGGGGCCTGGTCTGGATGGCCCAGCTCTGTCCCGGCCAGGGGACATCCAGGAGGTGCACGCCGGGTCTCTGCACGCCAGGCTGCCTGGAACACAAAAGGACGTTCCCTCCAAGGGGGCATCTAGCCCGACCCCCTGCGCCCATGGGCAAGAAACCCTCCTGCTCAGTGGGGCAGATCCGGCAGCAGCATCCCTCTGCCCGCCTGCCGCCCCGGATCACGGAGGCGTGGGGTCGGGGGGCTCGCACTGCCCAGGCACAGATCAGCCGCTGTCACACGCACAGTGGGTCCGGAGCAGCGCAGTGTGCGGTGGGCAGGGCTGCCCTGCGCCTGGAGGGGCGGCCCCCGAACCCGACCGCTCCAACCCGGGACGCCCGAGCCCCGCGCCCCCCGCAGATCTCCGAGGTGCGTCCCCCGCCCGCCAGCCCGACATCCCGTCACGCGTCACCTGCGAACTGGAGTGGGATCATCTCCGGCTCCCGGACAAACTTCGGGGGCGGCCGCGGCCACCCTCGCGCCCCCAGCGGGCCCCCGCCGCCCGGCCCCGAATGCAAATGCCCTGCCCCACGGCCAATGGCCGGCCGCGCTGGGCCCGCCCTGCCGCGCCTCAGCCAGTGGACGCGAGGGGCGCGCGGGGCGTCCCGCCCACCGCCGCGCAGCCCGGGGCGGGCGAGGCCGGCGCGTTCCTTTCTGCACGTCGGCCTGGGGAGGGGCGCACCTGCCGGGCGGGGCCTGCGGGCGCCGGGGCCGGGGCGAGCCCAGGGCGGCGTCCCCGCTGGCCGGGACCGAGGGGTTCCCGCGTGCGCCATGCGGTGTGACGGCCCCGCGGGCTCGGCGCTCACGCAGAGCGGGACGCAGTGGGTCGGACCGGCCCCTCTGCACGCGACGACCTCAGCCCCTGGGCAGCTGTTGCCCTACCCTGGTCGCGGCCGCCCTCGGCCCTAGCGGCCGGCGCACGTAGCCCGGGCCATGACCTGGGAGGGGCCTGGACGAGCCGGACTCTGCGCCCTGGGAGCGCACGTACCGCGCGCGCCGCCCCTTGTGAGCCCGGGGAGACCTCGCGCGCCGGGAGAGGGGTCCGGTAACCCCGTGCTGTTGTAGTTTCGAGGAAGGAGCTCCAACTCCCGAGCGACTTGCCCTGCCATCTCCTCGGGCTGGCCCTGAAAAGATTGGGAATGGATAGACGGAACTGTCGACGGATGCGTGGGGCTCCAGGGTGGCAGCCGCGCACACCCACCTGCCTCCGCGGCCAGGGTGGCCCGCCAGGCGGGATCGCGCACCAACTGGGTGCCTGGCGGGACTGGTTGCCTGCCGTTGGTGCCCTTGCCCACAGAGGTCCTCCCAAGCCCTTTGTGCACCACCAGTTCCCTAAAACCAGCAGGTCTTCCTTCCCTCTAGAGCCCCCTCTCTGCCCCCATCCCCTGCCTGGCCACAGCTGTGCAGTGGTTTGGAGCCGGCTCAGTCCTGAGGACCAGATATGGAAGGGTTAGCAAGACCTGGACCATGTGAGTGGGGACACCCCAGGAGTGGGATAACCCCCTTACAGGATGCTAACGACAGCCCACTGCCCCCTCTCTCACCCTGCTATCCACTTTCTGTACCCTAATATCTGCTTTCAATATCCTGACTTTTTTTTAATGTATTTGTTTTGATTGGAAAGTTGGATATACAGAAAGGAAACAGGAAGATCTTTCCTTTTCCTGGTTCACTCCCCAAATGGTGTAATGGTGGGAGCTGAGCCAATCTGAAGCCAGGAGCCAGGAGCTTCTTCCAGGTCTCCCACAGGGTGCAGGGTCCCAAGGCTTTGGGCCTTGCTCTACTGCTTTCCCAGGCCACAAGCAGGGAGCTGGATGGGAAGCGGGGCTGCTGGGATTAGAACCGGCACCCATATGGGATCCAGGCACATACAAGGTTTGTGGGTGGAGGGTGGAGGATCAGCCAATTGAACCCCAAAATCCATTTATCCACTTTCTGCACTCCAACAGCCACTTCAGCCATGGAGATGCAGGTTTGCAGATGGGGTTAAGTGCAAGTTGTTTGTTTTCTTCAGAGAAGTTTTATTTGCACAGGGTTAGGGGACAAGCATTTCCAGGAGAGAGCTGGGAATGGGACGTCTCTTGAAAGGAGAGACTTCTTAAGTGGAAAGCTCCTGGTCAGTGGGGAGGACAGTGTCCTGGTTCCCAAAGGGGCCTCACAGAGGACTGGGGTGATCCAGCCACTGGCCCAGTGCCCCTGGAGCTGGGCAAGGCAGGAGTCCTTGGAGCCAGGCCCCGCCCTGCCTGCCTGCGTCAGCTTCCTGGGCTTGGCTACCGCAGCCTGGGACAAGTATGTGCCTGCCGTCTCTTCTCACCCTGCTGCTGCTGCCCCCACCTCCCTCAGCAGCTGCTGGGTGCTGGGTGGGGCAGGGGTGATGGCCAGCCAGGCTCTGTGTGCATCTGCCCTGTGCCCTCTGGGAGAGGCTGGCCTGCCTGGACAGACTAGAGGGCACTCCCAGACAAGCCCTGCACCGATGTGTGCCGGCCTCACAGGAATCCAGCTGGGGCCTGGAATGCTGGCTGTGTTGCGCTAGGCGTGTGCCTCGAGGTCAGGGGACTGCTAGGTGTCCCAGTGTACGGGGACAAGTGAGGACAGCTGAGGCAGGCAAAGACGTGGCTTGTGCCTTGGAGAGGCCCCACTGTGCTGAGGCAAGCTGGGTCTGTGCAGCTCCAGCTGGAATTCACCAGGACTGCTGATGGCGACTTCCAGCCTGGCCCTTAGAGATGGGGAGTGCGCAAAAGAGGTGGTGTATGCTGGCGCCCCATCTCTGTCTCCAGGAGAGGGGTGGGCTGTTCTACACTGGAGCCCCCATCTCTCAGACTCCAGGAACAGGACACAGCTGGCGACGTGGCATCTGTGCCCAGGCTTCTGGCCAGGAGAGGGTTGGGCTATGGTCTCCCCGGTTCCCTGGTGGAGCAGCCAGCACACTGCTCCTGTCTTCAGCACCCAGAGCCCCCCCAGCTGCTTCTGTTGGAGTCTTCCTCTCGCTCTGTCCCCAGAGCTGCAGGGTGGGGCTCCAGTGGGAACCTTCCTTGTCTCCTGGTGTCACCCTG